AAATATTTTGACCCCTAAAACCCCCTAAACCCTCATAACTAAACCCTAATATAACATAATTAACCCAAACATAAATACTATAAAGAAAAAATAATTTTGAAAAAGTGATACTTTCGTAAAGATTTCAAAAATGTGGTATTTTTGTAGAGTGGCACTTAAAAAGTGGCATTTTTTTAAATTTCTCATTTTATTATGACATGCCATATATAAGTCATAACAACGCATTTTACAAATTATTCTACAACTAAATTTATATTTATTTCCATAAATAAAATAAAATAATATTTTAATCAATATTTTATGAGAAATTTTGAAAAATATCACTTTTGAAGTGTCACTTTTAAAAAATGCTACTTTTTCAAAATCTTTGCAAAAATGTCACTTTTTCAAAATTATTTATTCATTATATCATTTATGTTTGGGTAAACTATGTTGTATTAGGATTTAGTTTTGAGGGTTTAGGGTTTGTTAAGGTCAAAACATTTTTTAAGATTTAGAATTTTAAAATTTTGGTTTTAAAAAATTCATAATGACAACCCATATTGGTATTTTTGAAAATAAACACAACAAAAATGATATTTTGCAATTTTCCATATTTTATTATATTTTTTTCATTCAAAAGATGTCTAAAAACTAACTTTTGTCAGAATAAAGTTTTAGAACATTTTTATTTTTATATAAATAAACTTTTACTCAAATTTATAATAAAGACTTAACATAATTTGTAAAGAGATTTTATTATGCTTTTGATAAAAACTTCCCAAGTTTATAAAAACAAATGTACATATTCTTTTTTTTTTAAACTTAATTTCTAACACAAGACAATTCGAAAATAATAAGATAATTTAAGATAAATTGTATATAAACTTTTATATCTTTATATTAAATAGAATTATATTTAATTTTGTAAATCAAGGATTATATATTTTTACAAGCTAATAACTGAAAAGCTAATATTCAACTTAACATTTTTAAAAAGCATCCATCTTTAAAATTCAATGTGAAGAAAATAATGTTTTTAAAAGAGAAAAATGATCAAATAGGGGGTTCAACTTCTTTTGCAACTTTTTTTTCCTTCCAATCGTCCGACTCGACTGTCCATTCAACTACTATTCCAAAGTCCAAACGATGCAACCAATCTAACCCTATAAGAGAAATCTCAATTTTCAGAATAGATTGTGCACTTCAATGTATTAAATTATTATACGTTTAATTTGACACGTTTACGTATATAAAATAATAAAATGGTAAAACTAAACTTTTGAAAATTCATATTATTAACAAAATAATATTGTTGACAAGAAATTTGAGAAAAATATATCAACGACAATGTTTACAAGAAAAATGTAAAAATTTACATATTTTCACATT